GCGCGTGCTTTGGACGGTTTCACAACTGACGACCACGCGCATGCTAGGCTGTGAAGATTACACGCTGGGGCGTGGGTTTGTAAACAATGGAAAAGTGTATGAAATTTAGCATGCACAGTGCACAAACTCTATTTTCAGTACACAAATATTGCGACTACTATATCGGACAGAGGTACGCGCTACAGTTTGCAACAAATTCTTGTGCCGACATGAGCAGTCTGAGGCATTCCAACTACTTGTCATGACAGCCACTTTCAGTTCACAAAAGTTGGTTTATTATATGTTCTCCAAGTCTTTGGCATTAAAAATGAGGTTGATTCCTTTGTGACACTGCCGTGCCGGGCTGTGGCCGGCGGTGAAACTGCACAGCCCACCAGCGACGGCAAGCAACCAACTGAGCGTCCAGAGCTAGGAACCAAAAGGCACCTTTATCACACGAGGCAATGGCTTTTTACACAAGACGTGGGCACAGTGTTTGCAACCCGATTACCGAAAGTGTCCAAACTTGGCACTAGCACCGCCCGCAAAATCCCCCCTTTAGAATGTTCAAGGAGAGTATCGGACACCTTGGCTGTGAAAAAAAACAAAGTTTTACAGATTGAGTCTCTTGGGAGCGACCACTTGTCTTCCAGAATGGGTTGAGTAGTGTCGGCCCGTACCATCACCACGAACACGTGGTGGTGATGCTGGACGAGGCACATCACGATGACGCGAGTAGACAGGTCCACCTGAGGCCGAACCGTCGACGGAAGCTAGGGGTGACGCCGGCCTCGGAGAGACACAACAGCACCTGCCGCAGGCGTTGGTCATGTTCCTTTTTCGTTCTGCCGAAGACTAGGATGTCGTCGACCATGTTGACCAATCCGTCTAGGACTTCCAAGATCCACGCCACCTGTCGCTGGAAAAACTCAGGGGCCGACGTGATGCCAAATGGGAGTCGGCAAAAGCAATAACGCCCATACGGCGTAATGAACATCGTAAGCTCTTGAGAGTCCTTGGAAAGCTTGACCTGATGGAAGCTTGAGGTAACTTTGAGCTTCGAGAAGACTGCCGCATCGCCCAGAAGTCCCAGGACTTGATCGACGGTGGGGAGCACATGACGTTCTCTCGGGACAACTTGATTTAATTTTGTAAAGTCGATACAGACACGGTAACCTCCCGACGACTTTGGAACCATGAACAGTCCAGCGTCCCGAGGTGTGGGGTTGGTGACACGCCGAATGGCTCCGTCTTGCTCCAGTTTGGCCAGTTCTGTTTGCACCACCTCGCGCAGGGGTATCGGTATGCGGCATGGAACACTAAGTGAAAACGGAACCGCATCCGGGCGTAGCCGAATCTTGTACTCCTCCTTGAGCGTGCCGAGACCTCTGAAAAGTCCCTGCGGTGCCGGCACTTTCATGTCGTCCAAGAACTTTACCACACCCAGAGCCTGGATGGCTGGGAACCCGAGCAGGGGCATAGAGAGGGACTTGATCACGTACAGACGCTGATGACCGGTCTTGCCTCGCCACAGGAGGGTAGCCATGAAGTACCCAATGACTTTTAGCGACTGGTCTCCTGGTGCTGTCAGCAGGTCGTCGACCTTGTCCAGATGATGAGGTAAGTTCGGGAAGGCTTCCGAAACAGCAGACGCCTCCGCGCCGGAATCTACCTTGAATATCGCCGTGTAGTTGTCGACATTGACCTCAACGTACTTGGCCTTGGCCTTCTCAGTCTCGAGGATTGCGTGGAGCGGTAAGGAACGCCACCTTGCTCTGCTTTCGTTTCCGAGCGCAACAGACGTCCGCGAAGTGGCCCTTCTTCTTGCAATAATTGCACAGAGACTGCCGAGCAGGACAGTCTGAGCGTGTGTGGGGGGCCCGACTGCAGTAGCTGCAGGAACCTGGGTCGTTATCGCCAAGTGAAGACACTGCTGATGCGTCGTCTGACCGTTTTGTTGTCTTGCGTTGGTGCGTCGGACCATGACAAGACTTGGTGGCGTCAACGTTGACGGTGACCTGGACACTCTCGACTCCCGCGAGCAGTTTTTTTTCTTTTTCGGCGTCTTCGATCTGCCTCACCTGCGTCCACGCGTCCTTGAGGCTGAGCTTGGCTTTCCAGCAGAGCTGGCCGGACAGGCGTTCGTCGCAAAGACCAACAACGAACCGGTCGCGAACCAGGCGTTCTTCGACTTTGGGGGACGGGTAGTTGCACCACTTGACAAGCTTGCAGAGCTCGGCGTAGTAACTGTCGACGCTCTCTCCCGGCTGCTGAACCCGCTCGTGGAACCTCGAGGACTCTTACACCTCGTTGACGGGGTACAGGAAGTGTTCCGAGAAGCGCTTGACCACCGTGTTGTAGTTGTTCAGGGAGGCGGCGTTCAAGCCGAACATGTCGAGAAGGACCCGAGCCTCGGGGCCCATGCAGTAGAGAAGTGTCCGCACCTGAATGTCCGGTGGTGCTTGGCGAAGTACGGAGGCATAAGCGTACTCCTCGAGTTGCGTAAACCGGGTAGGCCAAGAACCGGTGTTGTCGAAGTCGAAACCAGCAGGCTGACGTACGGAGCCGCCCACCCACGCGGGCAGTGTTTGCAACCCGATTACCAAAAGTGTCCAAACTTGGCACTAGAACCGCCCACAACAGACACTACAATTTTATGATCAACACTCAGTCTTTCCGATATTTAAAAAAAAAGTCTGTCAGGCGTGGCACCATAACGTTCACCCAGAGTGCCTCATCAAAGGGCACCCGTGTGACCCAGCAGTCTTTCGCCCAGTCAACAACAAGGTCACACCACTCCAGTCCTGTGAGCGCAAGTTGTCCTGTCACCTGGTAGTAGTGCTTGTGCTTTTTGTCGACACTCTTGTCCGCATGGATAAACTCCACAAACCCTCTGCTCATCACCTCCTCGAAGGTCGTCAGGTTCGCATCTATCGCCCGTGACACGGTCTTCACTTCGACTAGTCCGTACTCCTGTATATCTTCGTCCCAGACCAGCCCGTCTGGTGATGCCCCCAGCATGGGAAGGCCAGGGTTGATGCAAAGGCCAACACTGAAGACTTGGACCTTTTGCTTGGCCTTGTAGCGCTTCAGAGCAGCCGCCTCATTCTGAAGTCCCGCCCTCATGTGACGTGTCGTGCCATGTCCGCCCGAGAAAATCGTCCTGAGAAACTTTTCGTTCACGGGTGCTTGTCGTTTGACGATGTCTCCGAACTGTGATGCCGTGATCCTTTTCTCACGTTCCGTGTGCCACAGCATACTTCTGCTTTGGCCACGTGTCTGTTCCTCCAGGTGCTGAGCTTGTGTAAGAGTCAGGGTGCATGGATCGCTTGGTGGCATCTGGTGATTCCAGCACTCTTTTATGGGCAAGCTGATCCGTGCTGCAGAGGCCCCATCATCCGTGTTCGAGTGCTCCTGAACCTTCCTTGGCAAGGGTGTGAAGGCAGCTTCTTCCATCACGTCCGCAAACATTGGGAATATTCCCTTCTCAATGAAATCTGTATGCAGCCTCTTGACGGTTGCCTGCGCCACGTCCACATGCACTTCCGTGGTTTTTCTCGCACTCTTCGCCTTGTTGCTAGAGTCGTGCTTGACGAATTCTAGTTCGTTGAACGACACCGTACTTGCACCTCTCTTTGAAGATGGGCCCCACTGCCTTGCTCCCTCAGTGCAGGCCAGAGCATCCGGGATGTAGGACCTTCCCTCCCTTATCAGGTCTAGCATGTACCAAAGCAGTGCTGCCACATGCTTGCACACACCGCCTTGTCCAGCCTTGCAGGAACAGGAAGCCTTGCTGACCTGCCCATCTTGGCAGAGCACAGCATGCACTGCGTATCGCTTCGTAAGGGTCATGGAAGCCTCCACGTTAGCCTTGACAATTGTCTCTGATGCACTTGTGGTGTGGAGGAAGATGTTCTGCACTTTGTGGGCCTTGAACATTTTGTAGCCAGAACTTGTGTGCTTCTGTGCTCCAGCTGCTTGGCCATGCCCTTGGATGTGGCTTTCCGAGAATGCGGAAGGAAAGTCCTTCAGCTGCTTGGTCCAAGGTCCTGCTGGAAGTGGTAGCTCTTGCGGCTCTGGTACATCCCGTGTCGCCATAGCCTTCCCTGAAAAAAAGGCAGCTCAGTCAGCGTTTTAAAAGGAGGACGGAAATTTGACCAACACAGTTTTTTAATGGGTTTGGTGTTGTTTTGACAGAATTAACCTAAACTTGCGAAGTAAGAGTTCATCTAGGGTAACAACCCCTCAAAAAAAGCCTGCTGTAAACTTTGTGCTAAAAAAAGAGCGTTTGCTATTAGGCAAACATGCCAGCTTTTGTAATCTACAACTTCTTGTGCACTTTCGAACATTACACAGTCGAAGGAGCATTCTGAAAGCAAGCCACGCACTGGCATTGGGGACAAGCATCTCCAGTGTCACTGAGCTGCTTGTTGCTGCTGCCCTGTCAGTGTCCATGATATAGTGCAGCTCTGAATACGAAGAACGCGTTTTGACCATAATCCGTTTCGTGCCAGCAGCATAAAGCTGCTGGCACGACCGTGAAGTGTTGTACAGGAGTGGCAAAGACACTCCAGCTTTCAATGCGTCAGTGTTCGTCCAAAAGAAGCAGTTCGCAGAGCCACTAAAAAGTGTCTAGCATTTCATATGCACGCGCTTGCGTGAAAACGGGATGATCAATAAAGATATGCACTCGCGGGACGCTGTGTTAGCGCGGTTCGCAGGGGCAATCTTGCCTCACCACAGTGAGCGCGCTAGCTGAACTGTAATTTCGATAAACAATGGAATCTCCCCCATACTATGCATAAAACGCAGTCAGAACCCCTTCTCCCGCCGCGACGAAGAACCGAACGCGAAGGATGTGATGCTGCGCGGACGGTTGTTGACGAGCGCTGCCGAGGCACGCCGACCGCT